CAGGCAGTGTGGGAACTCACTGAGTGAAAGAGGAGCAGCAGCAAGGGTGACTCGGGTACTGCAGGCTGCCCTTCAACTGGAGGATGTTTAGACATTGTGAATTAAATAATCCCCGTTGTGCTTGGCATCCACATCACTGATGGATGTTTTGTGTGACAAACCTGAGCAGTTCACTGCGGGTCTGGAGGATGACAAAATCCTTTGTCTCTTTTTGCAGCTGGCAGCTCCAGCAATAGGTAATGACAGCTAATTACTGCTGGTTTAAATTGTGCTCACAACATAACTGCTCAGCTAGAAAACATCTTTACTAGCAGAGATGTGAGAGAAGAATTGGCCTCTGCATCACCCACAAAGAGGATTATTTAGTTCCACCGTTTTTTTTTTAGGACTGGGGAGCCAACAAAAGTTAATTTTGCACATGGTTTTGTTCCAGTGAGTTCTGAGCTTGGCTTGGAAACATCTTCAGGGAGTTGTTTCAGCTACAGGTTTGAAGAGAGGTTGGAAGGAAGTGGTGCAACTGTGCATCATGTTGTCATTTCCTAAGTCCTAAAAAATGTAAGCAGGTTTATCCTGAAGCCCTTTTATGGAGTCAGTTTCAGACTGTCTGTAAGAACTCAGATTCCTTTCAGTGGAGAAAGTTACAAGGACACAGCCAGCTTCCGATGTGGAAAAAAAGAAGTTGTTTGTAGCATTTTTTATGGGCCAATTCAAGTTGTGTGAATTTCAGGTGTTGCTGGGAGAGACCCAAGCAGGAGAAGAAACACTGAAATGGGCTGAGTAAGGTGATGCCAAATACTCACTCCAGCTGCCCTGGAGAGCCAGGAGAGGTGCTGGGGAGCTGCTGTGATCTCATTACCCTGGCAGTGGTGCAACTGCAGAAATAACAGCGAGGTGTTACACAGGAAACAGAACATGTTTCTCCTCATGCAGCACAAGCGTGACCCAGACTTCATGTAAAAAAGCTGCAAATGGGGATTTGTTCCCAATTTCTGTTCTGTTTGCTGTTTCCCCAAATGGGCTGGTTAAAATGCTGTTTCAAAACCACCTGCAAAGATGAGGTGCAGGAGGAGTAAAACCAGCGTGGGGCTTCTTAGTCCTTCCCTTTGCCAACCTTTTGGGTGGTGTTTGCAGATGGTGGCAATTCCAGGAGGGGTGTTCACCATGGGCACCCACGAGCCCCAAATCCAGCAGGATGGGGAGGGCCCAGCCCGGAGAGTCCACATTGACAGCTTCTACATGGACCAGTACGAGGTCAGCAACCAGGACTTTGAGAGATTTGTGAATTCCACAGGCTACATCACCGAGGTAAGGCACAAGGGCATCCAGGCTCCTCTCAGCCTCAGAAAATCCCAGCTGGAAATCCAGGCTTTTCTTTTTGAAGAAAATCAAAATACTTGGTTGGGATTTGCATGCTCCAATATTTCTGATGGAAGTAGTGGGGAGAAGGAATTGTCTGGCCTTGCTGTCCTGGGCTGAAAGGACAGTCAGGTGTTTGTTGCTGTGTTTAATAATTGTCACCTGAACTCATGTCTACCCTGCAGCCTGGGTGATGCTAGCAGGTCTCTACAGGGGTTTTGGGGTGCTTTGCTTGGGGTTTTTTGACATTTGGGTCCTAAAGCTCTTTGTACAGTACAACCAGGTTAGATTTTCCTTGCTTTAGAGAAACCTGGAGCAGGGGTTTAACAAACTGAGATGGCCAAGGACTCTGCAGCACAGCTCCTTGCTGGTGACAGAGAGCCCTGTGCCTAAGGAGGAGACAATAGCAACTGCAGTGATAATTGTGTGCGTGTTCCTGGGAACAATGGACTAAGAATATGTTGAGGTTCCTCCCAGAAAGGAGCCACCTGTGCCTGAGGCTCAGATCCCTCCTGACAGGTGACTGTTCCTAAGCAACTTTGACAAAACCCTGACAGCCCTTTGAGGCAAATGAAAGCCTCGGTAATGAGCAGATCCCAAAGGAGGCACTTTGCTGAATTCATGTGATGAACTGTTTCTCATTTGGAAGACAGGACCCTTCTGGTTGGATGAAGAGCTTCTTTTGTCTGCTCTTTCTGTTTCTTAGCTGGATAATTATGAAAAAAAAAGGCAATTTAACTATTTGGAGTGGAACAAAGCTTGCTTGTTGCAAACAGCTGCTGAGATGAGCACGTGTGTGATGGGGTTCAATGTGGAATCACAGAATATGCTCAGCTGGAAGGGACCACAAGGATCATCAAGTCCAACCTCTGGCTCTGCACAGACACCCCAGCAATCCCACCCTGTTCCTGAGAGTGCTGCCCAAATATTCCTGGAGCTCTCAGGTAGAGCTGCATCACGTGGGCTCTGTTTCAGACTCCATGGCTCAGCTGGTGTAGCTGAGTGCTCCACTTACACCTCCTCCCTTCTTTTTTTTCTTGGCAGAATGTATTGTCATTGATCAAAATTATTGGTAGGTCTTGTTCTTTTGGATTTATATAATGCTAGATATAACGATTGAGTTACTTTTAACTCTTTGTTGTTGTAGCAGCACTTTAAAACCTGGTACTAGTGATGGTGGAGCAGTAAGTGACAAGGCTCAATCTTCTATTGTGATTCCCAAAGGAAAAATAAAAGGAATGAAATGTGCCCTTTCATATTAGAGTGATGACTCTAGCATTTGAAAGCAGTTGGGACAATCAGAACTGCATTTTTAATTAATAAAAGTAAAAACATGTGCAGAAGCTCAGTGAGCTGCCATCTGCCCAGTGGCTGCTGAACAAAAACAGCATCCAGAGAAAAAAATCCCTTATTTTCTGTTCAGCTTCCTTGCAAGAGAGCTCAAATTCACTGTTACAATTTAGAATTAGATATTAGAATTGAGTCAAAGATTAGACTTGATGGTCTTAGAGATCTTTTCCTACCTTAATGATTCTCTGCATTTTCTTATCCTTGATAAAGCAAAGCTGTAAATGTTGAGCTGTTCTAAGAATAGCATTCCTTTGATGAATAATAATGAATGATAATGGTTCAATCTTTTGTTCTTTGCACAGGCAGAGAAGTTTGGTGACTCCTTTGTGTTTGAGGGGATGCTGAGTGAAGCAGTGAAGGCTGACATCCACCAAGCCGTGAGTAGCACAGCAGGGGGAAACTCCCTGAGCAATCCCTGGGTTCTCTTGGCAGTCACAGCAGGGAAAACTCAACTCTGTGATGTCCCCAAAGCCAGGTGCAAAAATGGGGATTATGGAGAGGTGTTTGGCCTGGAATCATGGACTGAAGTGGGGAGGATTTGCAATCTGTTCTCTGTCCTTTTTCTTTAGAAAACAATTAAAAACATCTATTCCTGATTGGCAAAAGTTAATATCAACCCCTTGCTGTCTCTTTTTGCCCCCTCCCTGAGAAGTTCAGGCTGTGTCTGTAAGATTTTTTTATGTTGTGAATGGCTGGAGTTTATGGTAGAAGATCCTGTGTCCAATTGCTGCTTTTCCAGCTCCCCTCAGCCCCCTGGGCACCACAGTGATCCTGGGAGGGGCAGTGCTGACTTTTCTGGAGCTGATCCAATTTTCCTGTTGTCTGGAAGTGAATACTGGTTTAAAAAGCAAGTTCTGTAGTAAATCTTCCCTGCCCTCCCTTTGCTCTTTTTCTCTTGTGAATGTGTTGCTGAGCCTTCCTCAGGCTTCATTTACTCCTCCTTAAGAGGTCAGGCCCCCTTTGCAGCTCTTGGCAGATAAGCAGATTGTGTCCTGTCATCTCCTGGGTGACATGATCTGCTCTGAGCACAGGTTTGGACAAAATCACCTCCTGAGGTCCCCTCCTGTCAGAATTCTCCTCAGCTCTGATGGGGCACAGTTTGATTTTTGTTTTCAAGGGACAGCCCAAGAGATGGGAGGTTTCAGGAAGCCCTGTGTGAGTGTGTGCTGTGAGGGACTGGCAAAGAACGTGGGATTTGGGTTCTTCCTGCTAGGGAAGGAAGATTACAAGTGCAGTTTGTAATCTTTGAATTCAGGACTAACATTTGTGCACTGTGAGAGATAAGGCTAAATTGCAGTTCCCACCACCAGCATAACTGATGCTAAATCCATCCATGGATTTGTTCTGCATTCATAAAAATAATAAAAAATACAAATAAAAAAAATGAATGGCTCATCTCATCTTCCCAGCAGTCAGTATTGGAGAAATTCCTTTTCCTGTGAAGCAGAAATCCCTAAATCAGGTTCTCTGTTTTAAAACAAATAAACAAATAAACGCCAAGAATGTTGCTGTAGGCTCAGCCTTGGCAATTTTGGAAACACAATTTTGTTGGGAGCCACTTTCCTGAGTGTGTCAGCCAAATTTCCAAGTGTTGGCTGCAGTGCTCACAGGACAAGTGTTATGCCAGAGGCCTGGAATGGAGCCCAACTGGTCTTTTTTGGCTGCTGCTTTATGAAGGTTTTCTGGAGCTGTTAAAAGTAAACTTGCTGTTCAAAGTCACCTTCTTCAATCATAACTATCAGATGAAAAGCAGAAATAAAATATAAATATTGATGTGTTACTGGCACTGAAAATCCCTCCAACCAACCAATGGGAGAAAGTATTGTGGTTTTCCTTTGCCTCAGTGGCCCAGGAGTGTTTTGGCAAGGTTTTCTCCAGGTGAAGCACAGGGGTGTGAAATGGAAATGTGAATATAGGGGAGGACAACAGGAATGTAAATTTTTTAAGCAGTATTTCCCATGCAGTGAAATAACTGGAGAAAGGTGAAAGTGGAGTTTTCAAACTAAATAGTTGATAACAGAAACGATGAGCTGTGTGTGTCTGTTGGAGATTTTTGCTCTATTTGGCCACTTTTTCTTCTCCAGTTCTCAAAGCAGATTTCTCAGAGCCTCAAAGCCACTGGCTGAGGGCAGAGCTGGTGCTGGTGGCAGCTGCTGCAGGAGTGACCCAGCTGAGCACGTAGGGTGATTGTTGGAGCTCTGGGTGTGCCTTTCCTGGAGGTGAGGTGGGCTCTCAGATAGCCAGGAATGTGGGCTGGCCTCAGCCTCTGGAAGGGAAGCAGTAAAAAGGGGTGTAGCAGCCAATGATGGAATTGTTGCAGATTTCTGGGAGCTCAAGTTTTAATTTTGGCCTCCAAGTTTGTGGTGGTCACGTGGCAGAGGGGGGATTTAGTGCTGTGCCAGATGAGGGTGTTACTGATGGAATTGGGCAGGGCTCCTTCAAATGGAAAAGGATTTTGTAGGGTGAGGGAGGAAGGTCCTTTGAAGATGAAATGTGGGAGCTTCACATCTTAAATTCTTCACTTGCAGCCTGGACAGGAGAAGGCCCTGGGGAGACCTTGCAGCCCTTTCCAGGGTCTAAAGGGGCTCCAGAAGAGATGGAGGAGAACTTTGGAGAGGGCTGGAGAGAAAGGACAAGGGGAATGGCTTCCCACTGCCAGGGCTAGATGGGATTTTGGGCAGGAATTGTTCCCTGGGAGGGTGGGCAGGAATTGTTCCCTGGGAGGGTGGGCAGGGCTGGCACAGGGTGCCCAGAGCAGCTGTGGCTGCCCCTGGATCCCTGGAATGTCCCAGGCCAGGTGGGACAGTGGGAGGTGTCCCTGTCCATGACAGGGGTGGCACTGGGTGGGATTTAGGGTCCCTTCCAACCCCAAACCATTCTGTAATTCCATTTTATTCTGAAGGGATTTGAGAGCTCTTGCCAATCCCTGCAGGAGTTTTCCTTGCTGTCCAGGTACCACGGGAAAGGGAACCAGGATGGCACAACAGGAGTGCAGCCTCAGTCTCTGCTCTCTGGAGAGTGGTGGGACATTGTTCATCTTGGCTCGTGAAAGCAGAAAAATTAATTTTTGTTTCAAGGCCAGATAAATTCTGCACTGAAGAGCATGAGAGCATACAAATGTGTGTGCTGCCTTTGTCTGTAAGGGTATGGAATTTTGGGTCTGGAATGCAATGGAATTGGCTCACTGGCAGCTCAAGCAAACACGAAGTTCTGGCCAAACCAGAACTATGGGATGCTGCTTTCATCCCTGTTTGCATGGAAGTCTCTGCAGTGGCCTGGAGCTGTGCAATTTGCCTATTTCAGAATTATCCCAGATTGAAACATTCTGCATTTCAGCTGAACATCTCCAACTGCTGCTGAGAGGAGCCCTGGTTGCAGGTAGGACAGCAGAGCCAGTGTGGGCTGGGTGAGCTGTTCCTTGCAGCCCCCAGTGCTTCAGCTATTCCCTGCAAGGAGCTGGAAGATGGAGCTATTGAACTGTTCATCTGTGGGTTTTTGTGCTCTACTCCCACTGCTGGGATAAAGAAGGATGTGCAGGAATTCTCCCTGGGAATTGCCAGGAATATTAGCCTGTGTTTATCAGAACTGCAGCATTAAAGCAGGGCAGGGTTTGTGCCTCAGGCTGGGGATAAATCCCTGCACATCTCATTTCCTTACAGCTCATGTGCACTTGGTTAGTGGAAAAAATGCCCAGTTGGAGTGCAGATTTCAATGTTGGCTGGAAATTAGACTTTCAGAGGTGTCTGCCTTCATCAGAAGTATCAATTCCTCAAAAGAAGCTTCTTCTGATTCCAAAACTTGCACTTAATGAATCTGAGTGGATTTTAGCATCACATATTTGTGGTTATTTTTCTTGGAGGATTGACAGGGCTGTGAAGTTTTACACTGTCTGAACTGAAGTTCAATGTCCTTTCCTTATGCAAAGAAAAGATCTCTTCATAAAAGTGCTTGTTCCCAGTCAAGTCTGAAATATTTTTTGTAGCTGATGACTTACAAAGTAAAATTAAATATATTTTAAGCTGCTGCCTTTCCTTGATGTGCAGTTTCAAACTGCTGTAAAATACTGGATTTGAAGGCAGATAATATCAATATTCAATATTAAACAAACCCCCTTTGTTTCTGAGCTCATGAGGGAGACCATTAACATTAGAAATTAAGAGTGAGAACAGATTCTTCTGTAATTAGAGCTTCGGGGGAGCTGAGACTTTTAATTGATAGAATAAATAGCATGGGAATTGCAGGAGCTGGCAAAATCAGGTATTTACAGAATCCCAGGATGGCTGGGATTGGAAGGGACCTCTGGAGATCCCACCCCTAATGCAGGTGTGAGTTACAAATACTCTGCCAACTGTGAGTTTGGGTCTGTGTGTGACAGGATTTCTCCTCAGTCCTTGTCCATAATTACAGCAGGTTTGTTCTCTGCAGGGACAATGAAGTAGATCCATTGCACAGTAATTATTTTTATTTCTTCAACTTCTCACCCTACTAATAATGTTCCATTTTCTGTCTGCCTCATTTTTCAGTAGTTCATCAATCAGTGCTCAAGGTTTAGGATCTGGCTTAGAGGAGGAAAAACTGTCAGAGATTTATGTGTATCTGCCTTACATGGATAAAATAAAACTTCAGCCAAAAATTATGTTCTTGACTAAGTAACAAATAGTTTCTCACGTTCTACCAATGCTAGCAAATTCTTCTGCATATTAAAGATGTACAGAGCTCAACACCATCTGATTCCAAGAAGTGGTAACCTATTCAGTCAGCTTCTGAACTGCAGTGTTTTTATGAACCCACCACTTAATAAATGATTCTTCAAGTGATTTCTAGACTTGGGCTACTTTTCACTCAAAATCTCTTTTCACACAGTTAATTCTGAAGTTCTTACTTTGCAGTCATTTTTGTTTTTTTCCAGCTGTTTATCCTGACCTGATATAAGGCTTTGCTGCATTAAAATAGCATTAGAATGCTGTAGCAAAAAAAAAAAAAAATATATATATTTTTGGTGCCTTGTGTCTGGACAGCAGCATGAATTTGTCATCAACTTGAGGGCCTGACTTAAGGTTCAAATGTACAGCTTTGTTATTTCAGGGGACTTGCTACTTGATGGAAATGTTGGAGTCTGAGCCAAGATGAGCTCCTCTGTGGAGTTTATTTTTAGTAATTTTTCGAATACATAAATCTGATTTGAATTTGAGATTTGCTCCTCAAGTGGAGGTTGTTTTTCTCCAACGTGGCCTGTTTCATGTTAGTACAAGACTAATAAATGTTTTTATGGCCATGGGCTGGGTGGCTTTGGGGTGGTTTTTGGGGGTGTTACTGCAGTAGCAGCAACAGGGTAATGCTGACAATGAAACTCACTTGGTGATGGTCCCCACTCTCATTTTCTTTTCTACATAGATTTAGGAAGGAATTTTCCTCAAGGCAGTTGTGAAGTAGTTTTAAAATCTTGACATCGTGAGGTAATGGAACAATTAAAGTTAGGCTGTCCCAGCCTACTTGGAAAGGAAAATGGAATATTTGGAGGAGTTTTCTGCAGGCTCTTAGTGGGAGTGCAGCTCTGCAAATTGCCCCGCCCAGCGCAGAGCTCGTGGGTCGGAATTAATTGTTGGAGCTCTTGCCTGTGTTATTCACTGGGCTCTCTTTTCACTCTGCTCTGAGTGTGTGAGAAGCAGAACAAAGAGTCCTTAAGGTTTAATCCTGGAGGGGAGAGCTGGATAATCCCCGTTTCCAGCTGCATCAGACCAAAACCAGCCTTTGGGAGGTGTTTCCCTGAGCACCAGGGTGTCAGGATTGCAGGGCAGGTGTGGGTACCCTGGGACAGGTGACATGCTGCAAGAATTAACCCAAAGGAAGGGGATTGTCCTCTGATCCAAGATCACTTCAGCAGCATCTGCTGCTATTTTGGCAGCAGCAATCTGTTGCAGTGCACAGAACACGTTTTGGAGGGAAGCAGAACGTGAAGTGTTATGAAAGTAACTAAGCTCATTATTGGCAAGGGAGGACTTGGCTGTATTAACTGTGATGTTGTAATAGCTCTGTCTAATTAGCTCTTCTGCTAATTAGATTTAGAGCAATTAAAAGCTTTAAAGCCTTGTGAGAAGTTCTGTGAGAGAACTGTAGGTTTCAGGTAGGAGATTTCTGGAAGGAGCAGCTCGGGGTGTGTTCACTGGAGCCAGGAGCTGCCTTAGATGAGTCTCCAGGTAATTCCTGGGGGCTCTCCCTGCTCCCTCCTTGTTATCCCTGTCCCAGCACTGGATGTGGGACAGCTCTGGAACTCTGCAGAACCTGGCAGGCATTTGGTGCTCAGCAGAGCCACAACCATGAGCTGAGCACACTCAGTGCTCTCCTGTGGAGAGACATTTTTCTTGGGTTAAAATAAACCAGCCTGATTGAAAGCATCTGCTTTTTCTTTTGCATCACAAAAATGTTTTCCCAAATTAAAGTCGTCGAAAGTGTAAATCTTTGCAGCCTCCTGCAGAGATGTTTTTATCTAAAACCCAGCAGTTTAATTTACAAAAATATGTTGTGCTTAGAAACTGTCGAAATCTTTCCTGTGATCTTTCAGATTTTAGCTTTAGCAAATGGTTCTGCTGCTCTTTTATTTTCCTTAAATAGCTGTAAAATGCTAATTTTGGATTTCTGTCCTATTTTCAGTATAGTTTAAAGGTCAAACCTCAATATGGGCAAGGAATTGGTTAAATCAGACTAGTTTTAAATCTCCTGACTGTTGGATCAGTTTAGCAGCTCCATCACTCTGAAGCTTCAGTGCTGTGAGAATTGAGCAGAATATCTGCAGAAAGGTCTCATTTTGGGGTTTGAATGCTCAGTAACAGAGCTGTAATTCCCCATGAGACATCAGATATTTCTCATGCTTTTTGCCAAGGGTAGTGGCTCTGCTTAGGGTGAAAATGTCGTTAGACACTGAGCCAGAACTGGGGTTGGCATTGTTTGATGTGCTTGTGGTGCTGGGGAGGTCAGAGAGGGTCTGTAAAAACTGGAATTGCCTGGGTAGGGGCAGAGAGGGTCTGTAAAAACTGGAATTTCCTGGGTGGGGTCAGAGAGAGCACAGAATGTCTGGGTCACCAGCAGGTTTCTGGGAACATCTTTGTTCCTACTGAAATATCCAAGTGAGTGATTTGATGTGTAGCTTGGACCAGTGTTTTTTCAATTATTTACATGTGACATAGATAATCTTTTCTCCCACACACATGTAATTACATGTTGTGCTGAAGGATGCAGCTTCCCCCTAGAAGCTGCTGTTAAAATTGTTTGAGGAGATTGATTCTGGGTCTCCCCAATACCACCTTGCAGTGACTTTTTGGACTTTGCTCTGAAGGTTTGCTGAGTTAAAGGGTCACACTCTTGGTACCTTTCCTACCTCTCTGAATAACACTTGACAAAGTTGGCCTAGGACTAACCAGCCTAGGTTTACCTCCTAAAGCATTCCAGGCTTATTTCCTTTGATTTTTGTTCTTTATAGACATTATCTCTGTAACAGGAGTATTTTGGCAGCTGCTGGAATAAACCCACTGTTGATGGGTGGCATAAATGTTCCTTTTTTTGCCTCAGTGAAGGCCCCATTATTAAAATAAGTATTACTAAGTGAGCATGAATCAGAACAGAACAGTTAAACATGACCTCCTCTGCTCTGAAGTAAGCATTACAGAAGAAATCCTTAAAGAATGTCTTCCAGGAAAAACTCCTTGGTGCTGAAGCACCAAATTTGGGACTTCTGGTTTAAGAGAGCTACTCAATATCTGCACTGCTACAGAGGATTCTGGCTGGGTCATGTTTCCCAGCAAACCAGCTGGGGGGAAAAAAAAAAAAAAAAAAAAAAAAAAGGCTTCATGCTTCACTTCCCTTGTGTGGTTCTTCTGTCTCCACCTTCTGGAAGCTGAGAGCAAATAATTTAAAATCAGCTTAGTGGGTTAATGACCTGGAAAGGAAATGTGTGGCAAGAAGTGTGTTTGACCTGCAGCTAAAGGGCATCATCAGGGGGTTGCTCCAGTGATCTCAAAACACTGAGTCCAGGCAGCAAATAATTAGAGTGAAAATGCTCTTTAGGCCAAAATCGTAATTTTTTTTTCCTCTCTGCAGATTGTATCAAACTGAAGTAAGCCAGGAGGTGGAATTCATACAGGCACAGACTGGTTTGGGTTGGAAGGGATCTGGTGGTTTTTCAGAAAATCCCTTGGCTGGGAATTTAAGTGTCCTTCCCTGCTGCTCTTGTCGTTTTTCAGGTGGCAGCTGCTCCCTGGTGGTTGCCTGTGAAAGGAGCCAGCTGGAGGCACCCTGAGGGTCCTGGCTCCAGCATCTCCAGCAGGTGAGCCATGAGCACCCATTCCATCCTAACCCACACTGCTGCTGCCTGTCCCTGTCCCTGTGCCTCCCACCACGACTGGAGCTGCAGCAAAGGGCTTTTATTTACTCACCTGTTTGCTGCTGCTGTTTCTGGAGCTGTTTTCCCACCCTGTGATGTGTTGCATGCAGCATTGCATGGCCGTGGTCAGTGGTGTGGGGCACAAAGGTGTGTCAGGACCGTGCTGGTTGAGCCTCAGTGTTTGCTGGTCACGTTTTTGTACCAGCAGTGAAACCCTGCAGATCTTCCAAAGGTCACAAACTCCAGTACACACCTGGGTTTGGAGAGAAGGAACAAATCCTCACTGTGTGCACACTCCAGGAGTCTGGGTGGGGTCAACTCTTCCATATGGGATTTGGAAGCCTCTTTGGCAACAGAATGAAGAGCTTTTTTTACTGTATTCTGACTGTGGAAAATCAATTGTGACTATCTAGACCCTCTGAATGCTTTGGAAAACTCTACTTTTTCTTACAGTTAATGTCACGCTTTGCCTGCACCAACTCTGAAACTTGCTGATCCTTTTTTTCAAGCAATTGCTTTCCATTCTGAAGTGGGATGAATTTTAGGCCTAGAAAATCAAATTACTGTCTTCATTTGGGACCTCTTGCATTGCAACTGCTCCTTCTCTAGGCAGGTGTCAAGGAAATTGGCACTTCATCAACTAGTGAAAGTTTCTAACAGCATTTTGAAATCAAATCAGACTCTAGCCTAGATCTAGTAGGTTTTTGAGTCCTCTAAGGACAGGACTTTGTTAGTGCACCATCATCTGATGGCTGAAGCACTCAGTAACGAGTTGTCTGCTCTCCAAGGGCAAGGAAAGAATTATCTGAGGCAAAAATAGAGATAATAGCTGGAGGCATTGTTAGGGGGAGCCAGGAATTGAGGTCAGAGCCAGCAGACAGGAGCTGGAAACCTGCCATGAAATTCTGGGCTTGTGCAAGGGTGGTGCAGACCTGGCCTGGCACAGCTGCTGGGAGCCTGGCACGTGGAAGTGGCCCCATGGATTAATAAGGATATGTTGGATTCTTAAATGGGGCAGGAAAGAGAAAGAAGAACTTCCTATAAACTTCTCCTGGACCAGTACCTTCAGCTCTGGAAGCATCTTGGTCTATTGGAGGCTTGGATGTGGAGGATCCTTCTGCAAGAATGCCTGGGCATTCTTTCTGTCTTTTTCTGGAAAAGGAGACAAGGATTTTAATGCCAGTCCTGGAACCAAACCCCGTTAAAGATGGGAGCTCATCCAAGGAAAATCACTTCTCAGCTAAATTTCTGCAGTTCAGTTTGCTGGCCAGGGTGCTGCTAAAGCTGATGTTGCTAAGACTCTTCCTCATGTCACTTCTTCAAAACTCCACAACTGACAGCAAGGACAGGACCCAGAGCAGGAGAAGAGCCACAGGGGATTGAAGAACAATCACCATGAAATTGCAATGTGGATTTTCCTGTTGAGAATCCTGGCTTCTGGCTGGTGATGCTGCAGGTTTTCAGTGCTTTCCTTTGGGTCTGTCAGCACCCAGGCTCCCACAGAGGGCAGGGTGTGGACAGGGCTCTGCTGCCTCCTGGGTGCTGCACATGAGAAAGGACAAACCATAAACATCTTTAACTGAGCCATAAATATCTTGAAGTCTAGAGCTGGATGTAGGAACATGATGAGACCAACAGAAGTTAATTATTTTCTCTTCCTTGTTTCCCTCTGATGGCTGCATTTCCCTTGCAGCATTTTGCTGCCCTTGCTGTAAAAGTCACCTGGTGCCTGCTCCAGCTGTAACTCAGTCCTGTGTGGGTGTCACATTGTGCTGTGCTGTGTGAGTGTGCCTGGTGCCCTGAGGAGCTTGTCCTGTTCATTTTGTTTCCAGGATGGACCATCCAGTCCTTCATGTGTCCTGGAATGATGCCCTGGCCTTCTGCACGTGGGCAGGGAAGCGATTGCCAACCGAGGCTGAGTGGGAGTACAGCTGTCGAGGGGGCCTTGAGAACAGGTACCTGACCCAAAATGTCCCTGGCCAGGGGCTGGAGCTGGAGTTTGGAACATCAGCAGGGGTTGTGAGGGGTTTCTTACCCTCAGAACTGCTCTGCAGCCAGGCTGGGAGAGCTGGGCGTGCTCACCTGGAGAGGAGAAGCTTCAAGGAGAGCTCAGAGCCCTTTCCAGGGCCTAAAGGGGCTCCAGGAGAGCTGGAGAGGGACTGGGGACAAAGGATGGAGGGACAGGACACAGAGAATGGCTTTAAACTTAAGGAGGGAAGGTTTAGATTGAGTATTAGGACAAAGGTATTTATTGCAGGGGAGGGGAGGCCCTGGCACAGGGTGCCCAGAGCAGCTGTGGCTGCCCCTGGATCCCTGGCAGTGCCCAAGGCCAGGCTGGACACTGGGATTTGGGACAGTGGGAGGTGTCCCTGCCATGGCTGGGGTGACACTGGATGGGCTTTAAGATCCCTCTCAACCCAAACCATTCTGGGATTCTGTATAACACTGACTTTTAATTAAAAGTGTTTGACAGCCTCTCTGTTTGTGTTTTCCCAGGCTTTTCCCATGGGGCAACAAATTGCAGCCCAAAGGGCAGCACTATGCCAATATCTGGCAGGGAGAATTCCCCACCAATAACACAGCAGAGGATGGGTACAAGGGGACTGCACCTGTAAGTGTGTCTCAAAGACAATCCAGCATGTGGAAATAATCTTCCTAAAATTAAGGTCTGGCTTCAGGAGGATGTGCCATGGCTGTTTTCCATGTCCATGTTCTTTCATTTTAGATTTTAAGTTACATTAAATTTCACTGCAGGCTTGAGCATTATCAAGGGACTCTTTTACAAGCTAATTGAAAAGTAAAGATTACTTTCATTTTAACTTCTAGTTCCTCTCAAACTGACCTCTTTTCCCCCCTTCCCACTCAGTTTGTAGTCAGAAGCTGAAATACTTTCTGCCTGCACTTCTGGCCTCATAGTTTTGGGAACTCAAAAATCACACAACAGTTTAAAAGCAATTAAACTTTCCTTTTGGGGAAAGGTTGAGCCTGTCTAGTATAACAACCAGAGTGGAATTTTAAAGGCAATCAAGAATATGAATGAATTATTTAATGGTAGTTAAGTAAGTCCAAAAGTTTCATCAGAACAGGAGTCTGCACAGGCAGGAGGTGGCAGCCACCCTGGCTTTTCCTTGGTGGGAGGGGAATCTGTGAGTGGGGTCAGGTCACTGATGCCAGGTGTGTCTGCTGGTCAAACAGTGCCTCTCTGAACAGGGTCAGTCTCCAAAACCAGCAAGGACATGCTGTGTCACACTGGAAAAGGTGCTGGGGACACAGAGGTGATCACAGCTTTCCATCCTGCTTGATTTAAATGCAAGATGTGCAAGTGTTCCAGCTCTGCACTGCTGATCTGCTGTCTGCTTTTGGGGCTCCTCAAAGTGCACCTTCAGCAGCCTGGTGTGAGGATCCAAACCCTGTTTTGTGTGGTGACAGAGCTGTGTTCCCTGTCCTGTGCAGGTTTCTGCCTTTCCCCCCAATGGTTTTGGTCTCTACAACATGGTGGGCAATGCCTGGGAGTGGACATCAGACTGGTGGGCTGTGCACCACTCCCCCCAGGACCTTCACAACCCTGTAAGTGTTTGCTGGCTCCACGTGGAGTACAGGATCCCCTCTGTGACTGGGATTGCTGCTTGGAAATTTCCTGTTCTGTGCTCCTGGGCTGGGCTGTCCTGGGGGATTGGGAGCATCCCAGCACAGCTCATCCCCACTGGAATTACAGTGCTCTGGTGCAATTTTGTGTTGTTTGGTTAGTTAAGACTGAATACTTCCAAACTGGCCTCATACTACAGAAATCAACAATTTATGGAATGGCTTCTTTAAAAAAAAGGAAGGTTTTTAGTTCATTTATATTGCTACAAGCTGTACTTATTTTCTCCCTCCCATGAATTTTTCTGGCTTCTAGTAGCTCATTTTAAACTGAACATGTGGTAAAACTGAGGTTTAGAAGAAGTCACCAGGCTCTGAGAGGTGAATCTTTTTTTTTCCTTTGTGGCAGGTCCTGCAGGGTGAGATTGTGTGGGGTCACTGATGCTCTGTCTCAGCAGATTCCAGTTCCAGTGTTAGATCTGCTCCTCTCCCAGTTATCCAGGATGAGTAAATCCCATGATTTATGAATATGACAAGTAAGGCCACATAGTTTGTCACTCAAAATCCCACCAAATACAGTGGTTTTTATTTGCTGACAGCTTAAAAGCACTTGCAAGTTTATTTTTACTCCTGGTAATTATTTATGAAGGCAAGACAATTAATTATGAAACCCCCCCCAAGAATCTGTGTCAGAATTCCATCCATTCCTTGTAACCAATCCCCAGCATAGCCCAGATCTCTCCAGTGCTAGAAAGCTGCTTTGAAGATTTTGAGTGTTAAACTCAATATGTTAAAAAACTTTGCCTGAGCTCTGACCCTCTGGAAGAATTCAGAGTCTTTTCAGCCCAGAGAACACATCCTATATTTAGGTTACACTGCCTTGTGCTCTGCAGAGACTGAAGAGCTGAGCTCTGATAGATCTGGTGCTAATCAGTTCTAGTGTCTCAGAAGATAACTGCAGCCTGGCTATTTTGGGACACCTTTTCACACGAGGAGATTCAGTTTCCTTACCCATTTAATCAGAAAAACCCTTTGGAATTCACTTTGAACTTCTCTGCTTCAGACACTGGATTCTGACAATCAGTTTGTATCTGAAAAACCCCTAAAATCCTCATTGTTAACACCTAGTTTTTAAATACTTTCTGAAGTGTCTGCTTTAAAACTTCAGCAAACTCTTGGAGTTTAACAGAGCAAAAAAATTCACAGGACAATTGTTCCCCACCATCACCTTAATCCAATAGGGAATTGCTGCAGCTTTGGCACCATCAACACCAAAGTGTCTCACTCAAAAAAAGAATTGTAATGAAGGTGTCTCACTGCAGTCACAGAATCCCAGAATGGTTTGGGGTTGGAAGGGACCTTAAATCCCAGCCAGTGCCACCCCTGCCATGGCAGGGACACCTCCCACTGTCCCAGGCTGCTCCCAGCCCCAATGTCCAACCTGGCCTTGGGCACTGCCAGGGATCCAGGGGCAGCCACAGCTGCTCTGGGCACCCTGTGCCAGCCCTGCCCACCCTCCCAGGGAACAATTCCTTCCCTAAAAATGTACCTGATCCTTTAGCAGAGAGAGCCAAGTGTGTGTGTGAGGTCAATCAAACCACAGTTCCTTTAGGGGTTATTTTGTGGTGACTTGGGGCTCTGATTTTTTTTTTTTTTGTATGAGCTGCAGTTCTCTGTTTGAAAACTGATTTCTCTCAAAACAGAGTTATCATGTGGCTGTGCACTGAAAATCACCATGCACCATCAGAAAGCATTTGATTGATATAGTGAGAGAAATACAATTTTATTTTCATTAACAAAAAAGCTTATGTGTTTTTTTTTTTAGTAACTTTTAAAAGAACAATCCTACTTTTATAAGCTTTGCTAATGGAATGCACAAGCACTTATGTAATTAGACTGTAATATGGCTAATTACTAGTTGCAGAATTCTAGTACAGAATAACCCTGCTAATTTACACTAAACTCTGGGGTTTAAATGTGGGATCAAAGTCTGGACAGCTCTGGCCCTTTACACCAGGCAGCCAATGTCCTTCCCCTGCAGTACCAGCTGGTGCACTTCTCCAGCTCAGGCCATAAAACAATGGTGTTTGATAGAACAGAGATCTGCTTGTTTTAATCAAATGTGACCTTAATTGCTGGGCTGTGATTAGCTTTTAGCGAGGGGAAGCACAGCCAAGGCAGTTTCCTTCATCTCTGAGTGAGATATGTGCACAAGCAAATATTAACACTGCAAATGCTGAGGATGTCTGTTGGTTTTCTGATTTCCTGACATCTTTGCCAGCTGTTTTATGATGAACACTTTACCTTCAGTGATTTTAAGTAAGAGAATGATGTTTTGTAACAGAATATATTAATGGAGAACACTACAGTAGATTTCTGCTGATGGTGAAGTGTTTCAGAGCTGTAATCCTCCTTCAGAGGCTCTGGGGGTCAGTTTAAGTTGTTTTTGCTGTTACCAAATAACCTTTGATGGTCAATTTTTGCCTGGTGGAAGAGATTAGTAGTTAATAAAAAGATGCACTTATGAGCCTTTGGTTCACACACTGCTCAGTACAGGTCAGCCCTTTGAAATTGCTGCCACATGATAGATTTAGGGCTTTCTAACCCTAACCAAAAATGTTTTCTTCATTTATAAAAGTGTCTTTGGAGCCATTAGCACAGATTGCTGCTCAGCACTGCAGCATTTAAGGGAAATCCTGCTCCACAGCCCCATTGTTCTGCTTTGTCTTGTTCCTGTGGAACTTTTTTTAGGTCAGTTTTCTCCTGGCTTCCCTTAAAATGAGCTTCCCAGGCTGGGTGATGGCTGTGCTGGTTAGAGGCTTATCTCAGAGCAGGGGCTGTGCATCCACTGCAGGTGTTGTGAGGACAATTTCCAGAGGTTTGGAGTGGGAGCTGGGCTGGGCTGTGGAGGAGCACCCAGGCTTGGAACCAGCGGATGCTGCCTCAGGGTGTGGCTTTCCTTGAGTATTTGTGTGCCATTAAAATGCAGTGAAAGGCTAAATTCTATTTCACATGTATAAATTTTGGCAATAAACATGAAGCTCCTGCAGTTTGTGTGGTGACCTTTCACACAAAGCAGTCAAACTCAGGGGGTGCAGGCAGGAGCTGCTGGAGTACCAACATCAACTCTCAAGGTTTTCTGACAGTCCCTGGGATTTATGTTCAGTTACAAATGCTCCTTTGGGGTAGATTGTTCTAGAACATCACCCCAGTAATGCAGACCTGGGTGGGAGACAGGGTGGGAGAGTGGGATCTATGCCACGTGTGACCAGACTGGTCACTGGGGAAAGCTGGGGCTCATTTCCTTCCTGCTGAAATCCTCTTTAGGGACCTGCCTGTTACCAGGCATTATCAGTTGCCAGCAAGTGTTAATATAAATTTAATAATGTTAAATATTTGCAGCAGTGAGGAGGGAACACAGTTACTGTAACCTGCAAATCCTGTAGGGCAGAATTATTTCAAGCTGCCTGGTTCAGACACCAGTGACATTTGTGTCTGGAATATTTATGAGTGCTCCTTCTCCATGTCCTTACTCCCTGGCATTAGCAGTTATTCCTGAGTACTGAGCAGTGTCCTCCCCTCCCCAGACAGGGCCAGCCTCGGGCACGGACAGAGTGAAGAAGGGTGGATCCTACATGTGCCATAAGGTAACGTGGTGCTGCTTTCATCTTCCTCTTCCTCTCAAAGCACTTGAGCATGATCCTCTGACAGAGTTTCCTGGCAGCCTGGATGCTTGTCAAGGGGTTTCATGGCATTTATGAAGAGCAACACCTGATGTTCCTAAGGACCTCTTTTTGCTTAGCTTGGAAGTAAAACAAGTAAGTTTTTTCAATCAGTATGGGTTTTAGATGCAGAACTTAAAACTGATGTAGGCTTCTAATGCTGATTTCCTGATAGAGCTTGAGTAGAAAGTATGACTTTGTTTTTTAAGTTTTAGAATGGCTTTGGATCCAGGAAGGATATGGAGTTCTGAGTAACCTGATGTAGTGAAAGGTGTTCCTGCCCAGGGCAGGGGGTTGGGACTGGGTAAGCTTTAAGGGCCCTTCAGTCCCAAATCCTTTTATAATTCCATGGTTCAGTGATATCAGGTGTTTGCAGAGCTGGCTGGGAAATGAAGTGTTTCAGCTGAGTTGGTGGCATACCTGAAAATCCTTCAGAACAGCCAGGATGTCACCAGAGTGATGGCTGTCCATGACACAAAATTGTGTTTTAAACTCTGCTCGTGCAGTACTTAAAACCCCTCATTGTACATCTCCTGTTTCATTAAAGCTGTCCTGCTCTTCTTCTCTTGAAAGTCTGTGGCTGGCAAATCACTCTTATAATTAGATTAAATTTTCTACAGTGAGATCCCATTTTCTACACTGATTTCCTTCTTAGGTGAAATCAATGTCAGATGTTAATTAGTAGTTTTGATTAAATTAACACTGGAATAGGCTCTTCAGTGATGAATAACATGACCCATTTTGAAGGTTTGTGAAGATTCTAGTCTGCCCTAGTCTTTTTTTGTAGGTGATAAAACTAGGCTGTGTATCAAGACAAAAATTACTGACTACTGTTAGTACAAGGGCTCTTTATGAGGTGCCTGTCTGTTCTGACTGATCTTTGTGTGCTGGTGCTCTTCTCCCTCTCAGAGCTGGCAGAGGCTGAAGTTGCACCTTTTTACATCCCATCCCAAATTCCGGCATCTCGTTCAGGGAAATGTTTCCAGACAGGTGCCAGTCCCTGTCCGTTCCAGGGGGGCATTAGCACATGGATACAGAGCTCAGCCTCTGGGGGGAAACTGAATGGTTGTTTTGGCTTTTTCCCAGAGCAGGAGGGATTATTGGCTGACACTTTATCAGCCACTTTGCCATCCAGTCTAGCTTTTGTGTCAGCTGGTGTCAGTGTAGGATTCCCTCATTTCTCACGCAGCGATTCCCATCCGTATCACTTCACTGATCTGTCCCACAGCGATGGCAATGTTTTGCTGTATTAATCTAACTAATTAATCTGTTAATCTAACAAGCTGTTGCCTGAGGAGCCCCAGCTGTGCTAAAAAGTTCCCTTTCTGTGTTGCTGTGCAGTCCTACTGCTACAGGTACCGCTGTGCAGCTCGGAGCCAGAACACCCCCGACAGCTCCGCGTCCAACCTGGGCTTCCGCTGCGCTGCCACCACTGCCCCAGGGCCACACTGACAGGGACATGGATGTTTCTCGGGCACAGCAAGGGCTGGATCCCACCCCAGGGAGAACAAATGTGAGCAGTGTCCCTTGCTGGTGACACACAATGGAAAAACCTTGCTTGAAGTTCCTGCTGAGAGAAGAAAAAGCAGCACGATTCAACAGCGCTTGGAGAACCTTTGTGTTCATGAGCAACTTGGCCTGGATTTAAATCCTGACCAGAGTGGTTTGGATTCAGCAGGAAAAAAACTGAGCAGAAACATGCCAATCATGTTTTTAAAGATTACTTAATCCCAGAATTACTTAGGCTGGAAAAGACCTCCAGAATTATTGAGTCCAATCCTTGACTGATCACCACCGTGACAACTACAACAGCTCCTCTTTAGCCAAGATCTTTATTAATTAATTTTATTTATGTAGAGCTTCTACACTCAAATGCAATAAGCAAAGACTTTATAAACTTCTAGACAGCTTTAAAAGAAATTCTAGGCAGTTAGGAAATTCTAGGCAGCTTTGAGAGAGAATGAAGGAGTCAAGAATGAGGGCTGGGAGATGACAGCTCTCCCCTCAGGCAGCTTTGTTACATTCCACAGATCATGTCCAGAAATGGGCTTCCTCTGGGGCTGCTCGTTAGGAAGTGCCTTCTGCAGCCAAGGGTGATGATCCTCAGGGTGATGATGATTAGAAATCTTGTGTATATTTGAATAAAATATCAAGCATTTGTTTATGCCAAAGACTTTTATTGATGGAAAAACACAATTTCCTTCGAATTTCTTGGATGCGGTGTAGGCTTATTTTAGGGACTTGGAAAATGCAATCCTGGCCTCATTAGGAACTGAAGCTAATGAATGATTCCACTTGAATATAAGTCATGGAAGTGATGGTAGATGGAACTGAGAGTCCTAAGACCTAATAGGGTAAATTTTTAAACTGTTTTGTTGAAAATAAAATTCCTCACTGAAAAGGAGAGGAATTTTAGCAAGCGAGGAGGGAAATGGGAGTAATTGAAAGCAACCTCATTTTGGGATCTGAATGTAACAGTGGATTAGCAAGAGCCTTGGCACTGATGCTGATCCTTGCCAGTGTTGTCTTTGCTGTAAAAAATTTGGTTTGAGTTTAATTCAAATCCATCACCTGCCAGCTCCTTCTGCACTGGTTTCATGTTGAAAAGATGACACAGGAGAATGCTTGGAGAGTCTTTCACCAAACACCAGCCTCCAGTGGGGTCCAGGTAAGCCCAGCTAGCAGAGAAATCCATTCCAGGACACAGCATGATGTGGCACAATATTGAGATATTGATAATTAATACTGCTCTCAGGGAAGGGAGGAGGAGGGAGGATGCTCAGAGCCTTTTGAGCTCTTTCACTGGATTCAGTGTGGAAGATCACACTGAGCTGTGAGGGCAGACTGGGGCTCTGAAGCTGAAAGGAGCCTGAAGGGGAAGGTGAACAGAAATTCAGCAGATAAAACAAAGGGATACAACGATTTCTTTTCTGGTTTCTTGAAGGGGATTTTTGTTTTTAGCAGGATTTTGGTCTACTCCCCCAGGCAGCTGCAATGCCAAGGCATGGTGGAGTATAGTGCAGGAGCTGTATGGAAAAAAGCCATTAACAACTGTCAGGATGGTTTAGAACTCTATTAACAGTGATTTTGGTTTTTTTTTACAAGGCTGTTTTGAGCAGTCCACCACTGTTCCTGTTGTGTGCTGGGAAGTTTGCTCTCAGCAGATAACTGGGATCAGGTCACTCCCAGGAGCTGCAGCACTGGCGTGGGCTGAGGGCTTGGATTGCAGGGACTGAGGGCTCAGCTGTGCTCCTGCTCTAAGGCTCTGATCAAGGACCAGATACTGCTAAAGGTGGCTGGATTTTTTTTTAATCTACACTTCCTTAACTACTCGAAATCATGCCAAGTGCATATTCATAACAGGAAGGTAACAAACCGTGCTGTCATCCTGAAAACGAAGAGTGCAGATGCTATAATACTAATCTTGAAACTTTTCTCAGGAGGGAAAGAGGAAGTGGATTGGATCATCTGCTCCCAGCCCTGTGGTCTGAACATGGCTGGCATGATGCCTTTTCAGGGAGAAAACCAGATAAAACTCTCCTCTACACAAGAGACCTTGCAGTCCAGGCTGTGCTCTGGAATCCTGTGAATTCCAAGGTACAGGATCCAGGGAGCTTCTCTGCTGTAGCAGCAAGAACTCATTGAGGCAAGGAGTAAAGTTAATATCCACTCAGCCTGTAAACTACTTCTGACAAGCAGCTGAAAGAAATCCTTTGGGGTTTCTGTGACAGAAATGAGGCTTAATGATTAACCCTAAGAGAAATCATGTGGTAATGTTTATCTAAATATAAACCCACAGCCTTGTGTAAACCCCAACAGCAACAGGAAGGCACTTAAAAGGGAGAGGTTAACACTGCATCTTATCAAGGAAGCAAAGGTAAACACCAAGTAGGATTTTGTTTAGTAAATAGCAGAATGTGCTTTATCCCAGGTCAGTATCAGATTAATCAGTGGTTTGCATTGAAAGGAACCTTAAAGCTCATCTTTCCACACCCCCTCCCCAGAGCAGGGGACCTTCAGTTTGTTCAGAGCTGCATCCTTGAATTATTCTGATCATATTCCAATAGGAAAGTAAATCTCCCAATGAATACTGAAATATTATCATTAGTGCTCTTAAAGAATAGACAGGATTACAGAGAGCTCCCAGTTTTTAGCTGTTTGCCTGGATTCCTTGTGAAAGAGCACCCTGAGCTGGGAGTGACAGCTCAGTCCTTCAGAGGCACCAATCTTTCAGGTCCAAATGAAAGTTGTAATTTAAAAATGAAGTTACTGATTGTCTGCAGAACAGCTGATCCCCATGAGATGTACTCCCTTGTGTGTGTTCTGTCAAAGAGTGTAGAAACAGGTAAAAATCAAACTGTCCAAAGCAAATAACTGAGGGTTCGTGCTGCTGATGGCACAGTGTGACATGAATAAAAAACTGCATTGCAGTTTATCCATCTTAAATATCAAAACCAGCCAACGTGAAGCTGCCTGAATTTTTTCTTAGCAGAAAGAAAGGAAAGTGCAGTTAAAGAATGTGCCCATCTGGCAGTGCATCCCTGGTGGAAGGAGGTGTTTAGAAAAGCCCTGCACAGCTGTTACAGCTGGACAAGAATGGAATGACCTTCTCCCTGTGCTGGGAAAGGCCAGGCCTTGCTTCATGCTGCCTGGTCCTGGAGTAGTGAAAACATGGATCAGTTAGCAGCTGAAAGAACCCTCGTGCATCTGTTCAGCACAAAAACACAAATCTGTTCTTGTTCAGATGCACTTCTGTATTTCTGCTTTCAGTCAGCTGTCAGCATCATCCTGTTCATGCTGCAGGGGCTGGATTTGCTTCCTGAGCATGTACTGACAGCGCTGGGCAGTAACAGATGTGCTGCTTGCTGTGATTGCAGAGATCTGATGGGAACTGCCTCGAGGCTGAGGCGATGAAAAAAGATGGGATGTTGTGCTCCTCAGAGACTGCTGTCCTGCACCACTTCCACACAGCTAAATGGGAGTGAAACAGCCAGCCAGTCACAGCTGCTTTGGGCATGCAGCTACACGGCACTCACCAAGTACTAAAGCTACTCTCTCCTTTTACATCAATAATTTGTAGTTACTATGCTTTGTGGAACAAAAAAAAAATCACAGCAAGTAATTAAAAAACAATAATTTAATAGGTTCGAAGAAACCTAATGCCTTTCTTGCAAGTGTCATGATTTCTCGATGTCTTGTGCTGTTATTCCTTGTCCTATCCATATACAAATGCAAAGGTACAAATTCTTTCTGCAGGATACAGACTGAAAGAGCTGCTTTAATATACATCAAACTATCCGAGGAAAAGCAGACAAAAATACGAGGCCTGGCTTAGTCACTGAGTTTGGAACATCTCAAAGCTTCAGTAATCCCTTGTACTATCCACCTTGAGAAGCCCTTGAAAAGGGTTTTGGACAAAATTAATTCTCAAAACCATGTCTCTCTCCTGCTCCTCAAACGCATATGAGCTTCCTTGTTGGAACACAAAGAGTTTTATTTAACTCCTAGAGAAAATAGTATTTTTAGGTGTGTTTAAGGCTATGTAGAACTTGCTGGGGTGGAGAAGAGGGAGCTGTCCCAAGGTAAAAAGGAGGCACAGGTGCGGGAACCACAGTAGCAAGGTTTTCTCAGGCTGTTCTCTTCCTCCAGAGGTTTGTGTTCTCTGCTAGCTCCTGGTCCATTATGGAATCTTCCAGAGTAATCATAGGAAAGTTCCTCTCCAGCAGAAATATCAGTGGCTGCAAAAAGTGCGAGTTTGGGCACCATGGAGTCAACCCTCACGGGCACCATGAACAGATTGGGCTCACAGGAGTGGTTCAGGAACCTGCCCACATTCCCGATGCGGGTGGGATCCACGAAGGTCTCCATGACCCTCCCATCGTACAGGTGCTCCCTCACTGCTATGATGTAGTTTGGCTCCTGTGGACTCTGAGCCTGGATTCTCCTCTGAGCCTCAGCAAAGCCCAGCACTTCCCCAGCATACTCACAGACAAAGCTGCCCCTGGGGATGGGCTCCAGCGCCCGCACTCCCCAGCCCTTGCGGTGCGTGCGGAACACCTGCAGGCGCAGCTGCAGCCCCCGCTGCACCAGCCTGTTCTGGCAGCCCTCCCCGCAGAGGCACAGGCTGTTACACTCGAACACGGGGCTGGAGAAGGGCTGCTCCTGCTGCTCTGGCAGCCCGAGGCACACACCGCTGGAGCTGTGGCCGCGGCACACGCAGGGACACTCGGGAGCCGCGCAGGAGCTGCTGCGGCAGGAGCAGCCCGGGAAGGTCACCTCGCTGGGGTCGATCTCTCCGTCTGCTCCGGCCACGCTGTCGGGGCTGTACTGCAGAGAGAACAGCCTTGGCATCAGCATTGCTCGAAAACACAGTCCTAACAAAGTTTGTGTCTGTCAGTGATCACAGAACTCAAAGCGTGAACGCTTCGCTTTGCTGTAAATCCCAACTCAAACTTGTCGGAAATGTTTAAAATAATACAAACCAACTGCTAGTCTTGTTAATGCCTGAATTTCTCAAAACAGTCCCCTGGTCACAAAAAATGCTTAATCAGTTCATTAGATCTACTCTACTACGTACTATTTTCATTTCTAGAGATACCAAAGGTATTTATGGATGTATTTATTTGTGGAATTATCAAGGTATTGTTAAAGTAATTGTCCCCACACTTCAAAATGGACAGTAAGTTACTTCTAAGGTTAATCTATAGCTCTTCTAAGTCACAGAATTTTAAATCTACAGCTATGTTAAAAATAAAGATACTTTCAATTTTTCTCTTCACCTTTCTGCATTCACACTTCCTCCTAATTCCAGTAGAAAATCAGGTTGCCAAAATTACACTGATGCCCCCAGCAGGTCAACAGTTATAGAACCACGGAATGTTGCAAAACAACCTGACAGAAACTGCTACGTTTGGAACCCAAGAGATAAGGACACCCACTGTATTTTCACTCCCTTCTCAGCATTCAGCTTTATTTAGAAGCCTGGAGGATGTGTTATCACTAAACAGTACATTTCACAACAGCTTGTACCTGGCAAGTTCTGCGTGTTGTGAAAGATGACAGTGCATTTACAAGTTTATTTTTTAAAGCAGCATCAGCTTCTCAGTCACCCGGCTTTGCTCAAAACCAAGTTTAGTGTTCTTCAACCACCACAACCTTTTCCATTTCAGTAAAATACGAGCACACCACACAATTCAGGGAGATTTGGGTCTACAGCGATCACACCTTAAGGCTTATTAGAAGCTTCTCCAGCCTGGTTTGTAAAGACTCTCTAATACCATTGAAGCAAATTCCTAGGAATTAGATAGGTAGGAACCGATACAAACTAAAAGACAGCAGATTTAGACTAGATATTAGGAATAAATCCTTCCCTGTGAGGATGGGGAGGCCTCGGCACGGGTTGGCCGGAGAAGCTGTGGCTGCCGCATCGCTGGCGGTGTCCGAGGCCCGGCTGGAGGGCCCTGCAGTGGAAGGTGTCCCTGCAGAGGGACGTGTCCCTGCAGTGGAAGGTGTCCCTGTCCCGCTCTCCTCCCCGGTGTCCCCGGTACCTGGAAGGCCGGCGGAGCCTCCCCGGGCGGCCACAGCGCCACCGCCACGGCCTCGCTGCCGCCGCTCAGCTCCGCCATGGCCACGCTCCGCCCCCCGCGCGCCACAGCCCCGCGCCCATTGGCTGCGCGGGACCGCCGCCGCTCGCTGATTGGGCGGGGCGTTGATTGACAGATTGATGGGCAGTGTTAATCGCAAAGCACTGAGTTACTCTAATTCCCCACGTGCCT